TCAGCGTCGGACTCGTTCCATGTTGATGGAAATAATTTTTGCTGTCAGCTCATCTTGTAATGGGTAAGCTTCAGCCTCTAATTCAATAGCCTAAAAAAATAGTGCAATCACTTTATTTTTACTGATGATCCACCAAATCATCATCAATAACATTGGACATAACTAAAAGTACACAAGCTGATAATGCAGTATGGGTAAGTTCACTATAAATATGGGTAAGTACCATTACTAATTTGGCTATTTGATAATCGACAAGGCTAATAATTACAAAACCGGACATGACAGTAGACTGACAGTGCTTATCAGACATATACAGTAGCCCAGTGAGAGGGTTCAAAGTACTAAGTGGGCTCGACTCATCACAGGCTAACATCACTTCAAGATGACCAAGCCAATCAAGCTCAGATCAATAAGAAATGGGTTCAGATCAATAAGAAATTGCAGGTTTAATGCAGTGATTGCTAGACGAAACTGACAAAACTCCTATATTTAGTGAACATTTGGCTCATGAAGTGAAATGTAGAACAAAATCAGCAATTTTATACAAATTCAACAATCCAGGAATACTTAGAACGTGGAGAACTGGAGAACTAGGGAATCGGTGTATGTACCTGGACCGGGGAGAGGTTGCTGTTGATGAATTGGGCGACTGTCTCCTTCCTGGCCGCGAGCTTCTGGCAGACCTCGCCGAACTGGAGGCAGCTGTGGATCTTGGCCCAGTTCTATGAGTCCTCGACCCACCTCTGCAGCCAGGAGGAGTAGTCCCCGAGGCAGTACTCCTTGTACCCCATGCCGGAGATGACCCACCCGGCGCCGCGGTTGGTGTCGACGAAGGCGAAGACGGTGAAGGCGAAGAGGAGCAGGATGAGGAGGAAGAGCTAGAGGAGGCATGAGGCGCGGCAGAGTGCCCCCGCGAGGCCCACGAGGGAGAGCACGACGAGGAGAACCCCAATGCGATCACGGGCCGCTCCAGGAACCGCTCGCAGTCGATGGTCGACGGGCGGTGGCTGAGCCAAGCCCCCCCCCCCAGCACGACGAACGGGAGCACAGACGCCACCGGTCCTGGATCTCACCTCCTCCACCGTCTTCGTGGTGGCCGATTTGAGCGACCTCGGACCGCCGCGGACGCGCGCACCATGCCGCCCGCACCCTCCCGACAGCTGGGACGGCCGCCGCCGCCGGGCTCGGATCTACGTAGTGCCGCCATTCGCCGGGGACTGGTGAGAAGCTATCGTTTGCTCTTGCGGCCCTCGCCCTCGCCCTGGTAGCCGGCGCCACCGCAGCACACACACTCGGTGAGAAGAAAGAATAGACAGACGAGAGAGTGGCTAAGGTTGAATTTGAGAAATAAACATGTGGCAAACTATACTACTTCAATTCAATCATTCATATACTACTTAAACATTATTTTACTATTATAAATTTACTATTCTATCCTTAATTACATAAAACAATTTCGAAAATTGAATTATCCTATACTTTTTAAGGGCTCATCCCACTAATTTTAGTATGCACTTGATGTGCATGGTCCCACCATGCCTCTCTAATTGGTTTCTCTCCCTTTTTAGCCATCGGATCGGCCCTCGTAAACCGTTCATTTTTCGACAACCATTATAAAAATTCTCTTAAACTAATATAGTCACAACATGGGCGATATATGGTGTGCAGAGTGGTATAGCTAAGACTATCTCCAACAACCGTTACCTAAAATACAAGACACATTTCACGTTTGGGTAACGTTACAGGTAAATGGTTCAATACCTATGTTTAGTCTTCTCCAACAACGAGACCAAAAAGAAAACTCTTTCTGCAAATGGGTCTCTAGGAAAGAGGATACTCAGATTTAGGTTATACCTCTCTTAATATCCAAAATAAGTCTTATATATAGGTACTCTGTTGAAAGATATAGATATTCTATTAAAATCTATTTTGGATTTAGGTGTCTTGATGGGTCTCCTACTAGAGACAGCCTAAGAATCAGCAACTTTATTGTGCGAGTGACAGGTTCCACAATTAGTAAGCTTGATGTGCTGATTGATGTTGGCGCGTTGATGGGGCCAACCAACAACTTTGGCGAGCCTGTGTATAGCATTGTGATGAATCCAAAAATGTTTTAGACAAAAAGGAAAGTATGTGATCTAGAAAATGTTTTACAAAAGGGTCAGGGAATAGAATAGTCTATGAAATGTTTGAACAATAGTTTTATCAAAAAAAAAATAGAACTGACTTGAGAAAATAAATGAGAGGTTGATTTGATGTCGGTAAAAATTGCACACCCACGGGATAAGAGTGGGAAAATAAATGAAAGAAAGATTTAAGTCAAGAAATTGGTTAGCAATAGCTATAAAAAGATAGTGCCGATTGATATACTGAGAACACATGGAGAAAAATAATTACTCTAAAAATAAAAAATTCCAACAAAAAAATATATATGAATATCACGTTGAAAAGTTAGCATCCACGCTATTTGCACGGATAATCCTGTTATTTTTTCAATTTTAATTTAAAAGTATCATCCCTTGTGCTAAAAGCTAACCTTACAGTGACGCTTTTATTGTCTGAAGCTAACAGCCATGCATCAGAAAGGTTCCAGAAGATTTTAATCGTAAGCTTTTATTATGCCATTCAAAATAATGGGGGGAATACCGATTTAAGAGTCGTTCACTTCTTTTTTTTAGTTTGGCAGGAAAGAGAAAGAGGAATGTACCCATTTCGATTTATCCATTCTCATATAAAGTACCTAAAATGTTTTTAATGAAAATCTTACCTTGTCAATTTCTCGCAATATTTTTTTTAGCTGAAGTCCAGCCTAGTACTGTACTAGGCCCGAGTTCCTGAGTGAGAGAGACTCCCAGTAAGTTCCGCCGCCGGCCCCCTGCCCTCTTCTCCGGCGAGCTTGCCGGCGACAGGGTAGGTGGGCCGGTCCCCCCTTCCCCTTTTCTCTCCTTGTAAAGTTCCCTAGTGGAATAAGGCCCCTCCATGGGTATTCTAAGGACCTCTATCCTCCTCATCTCTGTCGTTTTGGAGGTGGGCGGACTGCTCGCGGCCATGGTGGCCGGCGGGGGTCTCTTCCAATCCAACGAGGTGAGCTTTTCAATAAAGCCCTCCTATCCTCCCGTGCTTCTTCCTCCTTTGCTCCATGGGCGTCTGGGCGGCATGGTGCCGCTCCCATCCAGATCAAGTCGAGGCGGAGGTGCGGTCCATGACAACTTCAACCGGCGGCGGACCAGCTTGGGAGTTCCCTGGAGGACCGGTCCCTGTCATGCTTGGGTTCCTGACCCGGGTGTGCTTGCCGGTCCACATCGCGTACGCGGCGGATGGTGCAAGGTGGTGGGCGATCCTGCGCCGACGGCCACCGGATCTGAGGCCAGGCGTCCGGATCTGGCCTCTGCTTGCCTGCGCGCGTCTTCTAGCGCCGTGCGATGGTTGCGGCCTGCTGGGAGGAGATTCAGCGATGGGGTTGCTGCGTCCGCCGTTTGTGACGGTGGCGGCGATCCCATGACCAAGGTCACGGCGACTCCGGCGACTGCGGGCACGGCGCGACGATGCGTCCGATTCCCTCCGAGGTTGTGCTACTGTGCTCAGTGGTGGGGCCCACCTTTCGCAAAGGAAACGTGCAACCCACCCTGTTTTATCGTGGGCTCAGGAGAAAAAAATACTATTCGTTAGGTAATTTGTTACGAGAGAAAAGTACTATTCACTCACTATCCGAATTCCGTTGTTTATAATTTCGAATGGGAGTTACTTTCCTTTTCTTCATACTACCCTAGCCAAGTAAAGGTGAACCTCCCTTACCTAATATAATAGGATAGAACCCTTTTCCTTGATATATATGAAAAAATATGGCTTATAAGTCAAGTAAGGCCTCGTTTGGCAGGACTTCACTTCACTAGTGAAGTCATTTTTTTTTCTTCAGCTCCACGAACAGTTCCACCGGTGGAGCTGAAGCGGTTTTGGTAAACCGTTTGGTAAAATGATTTCCCTGTGAGAACATGTTTTTAGGGGTCTAGAGGAGGAGCCGGGAGAAATCACTTTTTTTTGCTCTATCCCACCCCAAATCATTGTGAGAGCATATTTTTAGGGGCTTCACCAGTGAAGCTATTTCACTTTACCCCGTTTGGCAGAAAACGGTTCCAAACGGCTCCTAAAGCTGGTGGAGAAGCCCTGTCAAACGGGGCCTAAATAGTGCTGCATGTCCTTCTACAGACGGAGACGTCTGGATTCTCTGTCTCTTCCGTTTTTGTTGCCATATTATGGCTGCAGAGCATTTTTCTGGACCTTTTCTTTCTGCTTTTTAGGCCTTGTTCACTTGAATTTATTATGCTGGTTTATCAGCCATGGTACAATATTTTTCTCTCACAATAAATTAGTGAACAATACTTTTCAGCCTACCTTTTTAGCAAAGCGGTCTTTTTGCAGGCATGGAAGTGGTAACACAGGTTTGAGTTGACCGCCAACGTGAGTTGAAGTAGGTCCTCAGATTTTTTTTTTTTGAGTCCGGTAAAACCTCCATTCTATCTATGGCTCAAGAATAATTATCCTTAAAGACACAAGTCGATTAGACAACCGAGAAGAGCATCGTCTGTGCTATCGGAGTGCGAGATCGAAGACCCTCTATGCTTATATCGTGGCCACTTCTCGTGGGCTCTATGGCCCCGATGGGCCCTACGCCTCTTGATGGAAGCATTACATATGTCTACATAAGTAGATTAGCAGTAGCTTTTATTTATTTGTGCTTTGTAATGTAGGAATTTCTTTCTTATATAAGTGTGTTGTGCTTTAACGTTATATATTAAAAGTTGTTGTTGTAAAAAAAAAACAGCCATGCACAGCTGATATTTGAAGTACAAGCAACCGGCTCATTTCTGTCCACAACACCGCGTGAGACTGACCAACCATATCAGCATCAGCATACCCGCGGAGCCACGTCTCTGGTGGCTCTCTCTCTCTCTCTCTCTCTCTCTCTCTCTCTCCACGCGCATAGAAGCAAGCACCAAGCCATGGCTGCTCCCAAGAAGACGATGAGAGCTCTGCAGTACGACAAGTATGGTGGAGGAGCAGAAGGTCTAAAGGTACACTACACTGGCACCACCCAACCACCTGCTGTTCCTGTCGTCCATGGCCAAGAAGAGCTAATTTTCTTGATGCTTTGTTGCCTGATTTCAGCATGTGGATGTGCCGGTCCCATCCCCGAACAAGGGGGAGGTGCTGCTCAAGCTGGAGGCGGCTAGCATCAACCCCATCGACTGGAAAATTCAGAAGGGCATGGTCCGCCCCTTCCTGCCTAGGAAGTTCCCGTTCATACCAGGTACGCTACGTGTCTCAACGGCACATTATGTAGCCTCAGATTGCCTCAGTACCCACATCACATACAAGTGCAAAGAACCTACACTTTTTTTTGCAGTGCACAAATAGCAACTGAACACTGGCTAAAACAATCTTAGATTAGTCGCAAAAAAAAAACAATCTTAGATCAATTCAGTGCTCTGTTGTAATTGTAACAGCATTGCTATTGGCTATTGCTCAAGATTCCTAAAACACTTGGTGCCGTGGTTCAGCGACGCTAATTGGTGACTGATGCCGATCCTGAAAAACAAAATGTGATGGTGACGATTAGCCATGAGCTATAAGACATGGGAAGGCCATTGTCTCACCCTGCTTTCCAATACTTTTCAGTTCCAACTCATCCACTTACCCTTAGCTTTTGCTTCAGCACGAAAAGATAACTTTTCCCTATTTGGCCCTTTGCGGAACCCATATCTTCATGGATATCTACGAACATCACTAGAACGTGTTGGTCATACCAATCGTGGACAATGTTCAAGACTTCAAATGCTTTTGCACCTACAAATTTTATGATCGATACAGTTTCTACTGCAGTTCTGCACTTTTCAGTTCCAACTCATCCACTTACCCTTAGCTTTTGAACCTCGATCTTGTTGCCGTGGCAAAAACAGTTGGAGACATGTCCGGCGAAGTCGTAGAGCTAGGCAGCGGTGTGACCAACTTCAAACCAGGTGACAAGGTCATCTCCATCAGCTTCGCGGTAACATTCTCGCTTCCAATTCCATTTACTACTTCATTGCAGCGATGCTGCGATATACGCCGTCGAGCAGTACGTAACAAACTTACCATCTATGGTGGAAGACTGGAGGCGGGCTAGCTGAGTACGCGGTGGCGCCGGCGTCGCTTACAGTGGCACGGCCACCGGAGGTGTCCGCGGCGGAAGGCGCCTCTCTGCCCACGGCGGCGTCCACCGCGCTCCAGCAGCTCAAGGCCGCGGGGGTCAGCAGCTTCGACGGCGGCTCCGGCTCCGTCGCCGACAATAACGGCCCCAAGAACGTGCTGGTCACCGCGGCCTCCGGCGGCGTCGGCCACTACGCCGTGCAGCTGGCCAAGCTGGCGGGGCTCCACGTCACGGCCACCTGCGGCGCGCGCAACCTGGGCTTCGTCGCGGGCCTGGGCGCCGACGAGGTGCTGGACTACAAGACCCCCGAGGGCGCCACGCTGCGGAGCCCGTCCGGCACCAAGTACGACGCGGTGGTGCACTGCGCGACGGGCACCCCGTGGTCGGTGTTCGCGCCGGTTCTGGCCGACAGGGCCACGGTCGTCGACGTCACCCCGGGGATCGCCGCGGCGGCCAAGTCGTTCCTGCAGAAGGTGACCTTCGCCAAGAAGAGGCTGGTGCCGCTGGTCCTGATCCCCAAGAAGGAGGAGATGGAGTGGCTGGTGGACATGACGAGGCAAGGGAAGCTCAAGACGGTGATCGACTCCAGGTACCCGTTGAGCAGAGCGCAGGAGGCGTGGGCGAAGAGCATGGAAGGGCATGCCACCGGCAAGATCGTTGTGGAAATGGGCGGTGCAGAGTGAACCAGCGTGCGTGCATGATGAGAACATTGTGATGGTTGGTTCGATTGGATCTTGTGTGTCTGACTGTGGTACAGTGGTAATAAGAAGGAATAAACTGTGCTCAGGAATGACATGCCTGTACGAGCACATGGATTCGTTCCCCGTTCGATCATCGCGACAGCCATTCGTAAGCCATCTGACTATCTGAGGGCACCAGCAACGCCGGCGTATATGAATGTTAGCTCGAGGAAAAAAGTCGAGTATGTTAACACGTTGGCACAGAGTACAGGAACCACTATCTCTCCACCGCAGGTTATACCAGCCAAATTTGCTTTTCCATGGTCCTGTATTTCTCTCTCTTCATAGAGTCCATATGCTTTTGCTTTCATCCTTCAGCTTTGTCAGCTGAAAGTGTGCTCTAGGAACTCTGCTTTTCACCACAACGCACTGTGCTTCTGCAGTGTGTTAGTTGGGGCGATTGGTTCCTCTGCAAACTACACTGATGGTTTGCGAGGATATCAACTCGATACCTTTTTTTGTCCGAGCCTACATTACATGGCCTGACCAAGCAAGCAAGCGCGCGTGTATATATATATATATATATATATATATATATATATATATATATATATATATATATATATATATATATATATATATATATATATATATATATATATATATATATATATATATATATATACATATATACACGCGTACTGTTCTGTAGCTGGCCACAGAATAAGTTATTCTGTGGCCACTTTGAGTTACGATAATTACTATACTAATTTACGAGATTATGATAACTCTTTCATAAGTGATTTACTATAATATTATGGTAAATGTCATCTTGAATTATAGTAACCCATGTATCGTAAATGTGTATTGTCATTATCGTAAATTGGTACAAACATTATGGTAAATCAAGGTGGCTATAGAATAAGTTATTATGTGGCCAGCTATAGAATAGTCTTATCCTATATATATATATATATATATATAGTCCTGTTCGTTTGGCTGATAAGCCGTAGTTAAAAGTACTGTTGACTGATTTGTTGTGAGAGAAAAATACTATTCGTTGGCTAAAAAAAATGACTTATAAGCCAAGCGAACAGAGACGATACAGCATGAAGCGTTGGAGACGACCTGACTCGGACAGTGGCGCTGCATATTCGCTTCACTTATGGTATTTAGGAGGATGAGAGGGATGCAACAACTTCAGTTGTACCGAACATAACGATTTTATCACCTTCAAGCCCATTCCAGCTTGATCCCTTGAAAGCACAATGCGTTACGTATCTTCCATATACTCCAAAAATCTCAGAGACCAGGTGAAGGAAGTTCATAGGGTTCGAATGCTTCCAATTCACACAAAAAAAAAAGGGTTCGAATGCTTCCAACACACAACGACACATGGAACAGTCACGGACGACTATCCAGATGGGCCGGCTTCCTGGCGCCCAATTCAGGGTTCCCCCTCGGATCAAGCTGGGCCTTGGTGTCCACTACTGGCCTAACGGCCGAGCCAGAAGACGTGCGTGACTGGTCAGTTCATCTCATCGCCGGCGACACGCATGGATCGTTTGCTGAAAAAGGTTCATTGGCTGCACGGCATCCGCCAGATGCCTGGAGATTTCATCGGTTCGTTCTCAAGTTTTTGTGCAAAATGGACCAGGTTGTTCGGTACACGAGACGAGACACACCGGGAGGAAGGAACTTTGGAAAAAAAAACCTGTAGAGTTCTTTGTGTTCACGGAAACAGAACCATAGGTTTCAAATATAATTATAGTAGTACATTACCGATAATTAATGTCACAAAAATAGTCGAATAACAAATTGTTCAGCTAATCGGCTCTAAAATATGCATGAAACAAACTAATAATTAATAAAGAGAACTTACAAAATATTATAATGTTGCTTTAATCCTGCGATTCTTCATGGTTTGGAAGCGGTTGATGATGTCTTTGTCCTTAACTTGTAGAAAGAACTCTCGCTCAATAAATGTAACCAAGTAATCATTCAAGTATTGATCCCCAATCTTATTTCTCAATTTGTTCTTCACATAATTCATGATAGAAAAGACTCTTTCAACATTTGCAGTTGCCACTGGAAGCACTAGCACCAATTTTAGAAGCCTGTAAACAACTGCATGTCTTCCAAACCAGATTCAACACTTGCTGAACAGATGGATTGGTTTGATTATGAACTTGACTCTCGTTAGTTACCGGCACAACAGATTCAACAATATCCTGAGGCTGAGCATTACTCCCCACTGTAACTGGTTGTGGCACTGATGTAGATGCTAACTCCACCTTCCTTATTTTTGCTGCTCTATCCCACAAAGTCCTCAAATCAACCTGTTTCGATTTGTTGTCCATTGCAAACCAATAGCAATACTATTACTGCAATAGACAATATCACTGCAAATCAGTAAACTACCAAACTCTATGTCTCTAAACCAATATTTACAACCAAGAATTCAAGATCCAAGAACTGGAGTATCAAGAATATAACCTGGTGTGGTGTTGCCGGCCGCCCCAGCGCCCCAGCGCCCCTGTGCTCGACGCCGCTCAGCCGCTGCGGCGTTGCCGCTCTGCTCAGCTGCTGCCTTGCGGCTTGTGCTGGCCGCGCGTGGCGAGCGCCGCCGGCCGCAGCCCGCTCCGCACCGGCCGCCGCCTAAGGTTTGCAGCACGCCCGCGCCGTGTGACCGCATCCGTGTCGAGACGACCGCGTGCATGACCGTGAGGAGCCGAGGAGGACGAAGGGGTGCGGACTCGGGGGAATTGAGGTGGAAGGGCTGAATGGGCCTGCCGACTGGGCCGGCCTGGGAAGGGGAGGTGTTCGAAGCCAGGTCTAAAGGCCATTTGTTTTGCTGTTTTGGGCTCAAATGTTGCGACAATATCACAGAATATAGTATTATACACTTATGTATACAAGTACATATACATATATACATAAAGGTGTAAAAAAAAGTTAGGTATTCCAGGAATACAGGGAATATCCTTAAATCCGCCCATGAAACAGAACAACCTTAGTCCCATATCTTATGTGATAGTATACAGCCTGTTCGGGAGGCCGTATCGTATCGTGGATTATTTACTGCTGGCTGATTTGGTGTGAGAGAAAAACACTGTTTCCGGCTGAAAATTTACGATCGTTTACGAACAAGCGAACAGGCTGATAGCGCGGCGGCGGCGAGGAGATGTCGGATCTGAAAGCCGGCGCGGGGAGAAAAAGGAGAAAACGAGGCATGGGCTGGGCGGTGGAGTTGTGGAACAGAGACTCGATTCCGGCGCGGCTAGGCGGCCGACCAATGCCCCATGAAACTCTGCCTCCGGGCAGCAGAGCAGGGGACCAGGCCCTCGGCCGCCCACCTGTCCGCGATGGCCGCCGGCATGGCCTCGATAACTGACGGCGATGATGACCAGCGCGATCGCAGTAGTCCACCAGTGACCTTGCCGCTAGACGCCTAGACCAGACCTGCCTCTGCTCCTTGACAAACAGTCATCAGCGTTCTTCAGGTACCAAATATTCTTCTTTCCTTTTTTTTTTCTCCCCTAATTTTTCCAATCCACCCTCAAAAGAAAACTTAAGCCATCCAATTATAACTGTTAGAGAAAGAGAGAAATCGTCTGTTTGTCATTCGACGTTGAAATTCGAAGTCTGACATAGTTTTGACTTAACCACTGTGCCTCTACATACCCATATACAAGCCCTTTTAAGAAAGGGGATTTCATTTTCTAAAACCATGGAAAGTAGTAAGAGCTGAACCCGTTGCCCAGTGACGCAAAACTTATTGGCGCAAAAACCAAATGAGAGGCAATATAAAAAGAAAAGGAGTACGTTGACATGCTGCATAAAGTAAGCACCAAATGCTTCCAAGTTCCAACCACTGCCACTTGTGCAAATACAAAATCTTATTTCTTTGACATTTCGAGTCACAGTCCAAATGGTGGGTCTCATTTCTTTGACATTTCGGCCGTTACGCTTGCAATTCTGCCTGTGCAAGGAGGCGACCTGTCGTTGATATTAGAGACCTGGGATATACTGTATCGGATAAATCAGCATCATCTGTCTGCTTGATTCCTCGACCAGGTGAGCTCACGTCGTCAGATTTAAGTTGCCAACATGCTTTGCTTTGGTTAGTGGGTCTGGCAGTCAGCAACATCTCGCCATCCCCAACTGAATTCCTGCTGCTGGATGTGCAGACACGCCGGGCTCTCGCAGGCCCGCACAACGCCGGGACGAGTAGCGCATAAGCGTAATGGAGGCGAGCCAGAATGATAGGAACAGCCATGTTTACGGTGACCACCAAGCCATGCAGTTGGATCAGTATACACTAAGGGGGTGTTTGGGACTGCTCCACAAACTCTGCTCCACAAACTCCATCGTGGAGTAGCTCCACAAAAAACTGGAGTTTGTGGAGTACCTCTTTAGGTGCTCTCACAACTCCACCCTTTTTCCTGGAGCAGAGTGCGTGGAGCTGAAACCGTTTGGCTAAAAAACGTGGAGCGGAGCTGAAAAACGTGGAGCGGAGCAGTCCCAAACACGCCCTAAACATTAGTATACAACTACCTAGAGCATATGAGAGAGTGACTGAGTGAGAGACTCACTTTTTCGCAAGTGGTGATGAACTCGCAGACCATGTCAAGACATCATACAGAGTTCTCAAGAAAGGTGTCGGTGTTTCGAGAAAACACCGACGAGTAAATTTATGTTATTGCACATCTGGTTCGGATGATGTGCTAAAAAGACACAAGGTTTATACTGGTTCGGGCAGAATGTCCCTACGTCCAGTTCGTGGTTGCTACTCATATTATTTGCACTGAAAAGTTCATAGTAGGGGTTACAAACGGACGAGAGAGAAAAAGATCCCAAGTCTCTGATGGAAAGGTCGAACGGGTGCTGAGAGCTTGGTCGCTGCTCAGCTATGTTTGATGTGATGCGTGGTGTGTTCAATCGATCCGTCCCCCCTTAGTGGGGTGCCCTACCTTCCCTTTTATAAACTAAAGGGAAGCAAA